GTCTTGTCTAGTTCGGGACGACATATGCTATTAGTTGCAATAGCAGACTTTCTAGTTATGTCGCGACATAATAAAGTATTTAATCCAAAAGTATTAAAAAATACGCTCATTCAAGTGTATTTTGGATTTTACTCATTTCACGTGCACGAACGAGCATACATGAGCATGGTGACCATACCTTCTTGTAGAAGTCCATTACATCTATTTATGTTCTAAATCCCACCCCGTTTGGTTGAAAACCAAGGAAGTTATAGCTGTTTAAAGTTTCAGCCAATGAGATTGCAGCACACGTACGCGCACGTGTATGCATGTGCATGGAGACCATACCTTCTTTTAGAGGTCCATTATATCTATCTATGTTCCAAATCCCATCCTGTTTGGTTGAAAACCAAGGGAGTTATAGCTATTTAAAGTTTAAGCCAATCAGATTGCAGCGCACGTGCATGCACGTGTTTTCATGATAATTGTTATATATCATGTTGTAGGATATTATAATGTATGGCTATGTTCAAAATTTCAAAGGATTTCGTCAAAAAAACAAGAAAGATATTGAGACATTAGTTTCAGCCGATCAGAGCGAAGCTCACGTGCATGCGCGTAAGAGCTTGCTATTTTGACCATGTCATATTGTCTATGCTACAAAGCATTTCATCAAAAATGTGAAAAGTTACGCCTATATCAATTAAATCGGTCATTTCACGTGTTGCACGTGCACGCTCTTGCAAGCACGTGCGCGCAAAATGACCTTCGTTCTGCAAATCTACATAACATGCCTACTGACCCTAAAAAGGTTTTACCTAAGTCGGATGTGTAGTTTACAAGATCCTCCCGGACAAAAAAGTACCCAGGAAGAAGAAAAATAATAACTAGATGCGTTCTTGTTGCTAGAGTAACAAGCGGTCTTCCGACCGACTTTTCGTTAGAGTTCTATGCAGTGTCATCCATGGAATAGATTTCAGAATGCATTTTCTTCGTTTACGTTTATTTACAGCAGTCTTTCGACATAGATCATGAGTATTACATTATTCCACAAAATATCTTAAAAATATAGCTTTTAAAAATCGGCAAAATCTTCCATACATGTTAAAAAAGGGAGAAATGTCATGTGCAACTGAGAAAAGACAGAAACAAAGAAAAAATTTTGCAACGCCCACAGCGGGATTCGAACCCCCGCTAGTGTGACAAAATTTAGATCGGTCATATCTTTGCAACAAATGTACGCATGGAAATATCGAAAACATATTTAGAATTCTTAAAAGGTACTCTATCAACCCTATGAATCCTAAAGAAAAATATTGAAAAACAAAAAAGTTAAAAATTTGGACTTTTTGAATTCACTTCCGTTTGCGACCGGAAGTCAAAACGACGAAAAATGAAGGTCGATCAACACATCTACAATCGATATTCAATCACCTCAGGAAGTTTCAGTTTCATATCTTTTGCCGTTCTCGAAAATTTTTTACGACAAAATTCCATTTAAAAAATACAAATTTCCCCCAAAATCGCGAACGGAAAAAAATTTCAAAAAAGTGAGGGACCCCTAAAGATATTGACTAGATGCATAATCCATGAAAAAATTGTTGAAATTCGTCCACGCACAGCTGAGATATGACCTGTACTATGAAAAGTGGAATAATAATAATAATAAAAAACAGAAGGAAAACAATATAGTCTTCCGAAGGAAGTCGGAAGACCTTAACTAGATGCGATCTCGTTGCGAGCAACGAGTAGGTCTTCCGTCCGATTTCTGATGGATTAAGACCTGTGTTGGGATAATTCCACTGATAGGATAAAAATGTCAAAAAGGCACAAGAATTCTTCAAAATGTGTTTAGAAATACAAAACAAAAAATGTAGGATCAATCAATTCCAATCAACTTCCGGTTCTTCTTATTCACTTCCGGTTCGACCGTATGTGCTCAATACGACTTTCAACTCTACATCAAGCATGCAGTAATCATCCCTGAAAGTTTCAATGGAAAATACTCATTTTTAGACAACTTCCGGTTTGAACAAGCCGTACTTCCGGTGGAAATATTAAGATGCTACGCATTCTTTAAATTTCTATAACGAACAATTACATTCATTAGAAAATGAGAAAAAAATTCGCTATATTTAAATTACTTCCGGTTTACAATTGAAGTGTCGACGGAAAAAAATTAAAAATGAAAAAAATTTAAAGTATGCATAAATTTGAGAACATTATTTTGACCATCTTTTGTTCAATATTGCTTATCAAAATATTCACGCTTTTCGAGATATAAAGCGTCAAAGATTTAGCATTCTGACTCCATGTGACCCCTTATTACGTTACATATGATCAAATTTTTATTATATATTGTTGCAAATCCTTAAGATGAATGTCTTTCCCTCGGTAATGTATCATGAAATATTGATCATTAAAGAGTTAAAGATGAGAGACTTTTGGCCCCTATAAGCCCCTAATTTGAAGGGCTAACCCCATTTTCTTGATATCAAATGAAAGGTCTTACTATATTGCACATCTTTTGTTATATATCTCTTAACAAAATATTTACAAGTAAAAAGATATAAAAGAAAACGTGTCAAATTTTGCGAGATGCTTGTGAGCCTATTTTTTGAACCCAGGCGAGCGTCGATGCCTTTTCCCCTGGAAAGGTCTATATCCAAAATGTCACATCTACTATCCTTCCTCTACCTTCACTGAAAATCTTAACTCAATATCTTAAGTCGTTTAGGAGGAGATCTCAGGACAAGCCGACCTTCTAAAAAATCAGAAAATCGTCAATATCTCACGACCGGAAGTGACGTCATAAACGACGAAAATTTCTGACAAGGTTCAGATAAATATCTATCAGATCTGAAAATTTGGTGAAAATCGGGCGAGTCGTTTCCGAGAAATCGCGTGCACAAAATCGGTAAGAAAAATAATAATAATAATAATAGGGAAAAAGAAACCGAACGAAAACAATAAGGTCTTCCATACCGTCTTGTAGAAGTCCATTATATCTATCTTTGCTCCAAATCCCATCCTGTTTGGTTGAAAACCAAGGGAGTTATAGCTATTTAAACTTTAAGCCAATCAGATTGCAGCGCACGTGCATGCACGTGTTTTCATGATAATTGCTATATATCATGTTGTAGGATATCCTAATGCATGGCTATGTTCAACATTTCAAAGGATTTCGTCAAAAAACAAGAAAGATATTAAGACTTTAGTTTCAGCCGATCAGAGCGAAGCGCACGTGCATGTGCGTGAGATCTTGCTATTTTGACCATGTCATATTGTCTATGCTTCTAACATATCCTTATATTATGAGTTTCAAAGCATTTCATCAACCAGAAGTCTCTGTGGAGACTGAAGCTCTACTGGTTTATACTTATAGCAACGGGAGAGAGAAGTACTTAAACAATTGGGAATTGGAACTTTACAACAACAATAAATAGAATAATGATAAAGAATAACTGTAGGAGGAGTAGCGTTTTGAAAGAATTTCACAGAAATTTCTATTTTTAGTAACCACGGCAACAACGTTTCATTGAAATCCAAAAACCATATATACAGAATTATGTATATGTAGTCTACTTGTGTGCCAAGTTATATTGAAATCAGACCAAAACTGTAGGAGGAGTAGCGTTTTGAAAGAATTTTACAGAATTTTCTATTTTTAGTAACCACGGCAACACCGTTTATCCAAATCAAAACCCGATACACAGAATTATGTATCTTAGTGTAGTCTACTAGTGTGCCAAGTTATATTGATATTTTACCAAAACTGTAGGAGGAGTAGCGTTTTGAGAGAATTTCACAGAAATTTCTAATTTTAGTAACCACGGCAACACATCTCATCAAAATCAAAAACCAATATTAGAATTATGTATCTTAGTGTAATCTGCTTGTGTGCCAAGTTATATTGAAATCTCACCAAAACTCTAGGAAGAGTAGCGTTTTGAAAGAATTTTACAGAATTTTCTATTTTTAGTAATTTTTAGTAACCACGGCAACACCGTTCATTGAAATCAAAAACCGATACACAGAATTATGTATCTAAGTGTAGTCTACTTGTGTGCCAAGTTATATTGAAATCAGATCAAAAACTAGGAGGAGTAGCGTTTTGAAAGAATTTCACGGAATTCTCTATTTTTAGCAACCACGGCAACACCGTTCATCGAAATCAAAAACCGATATACAGAATTAAGTATCTTAGTGTAGTCTACTTGTGTGCCAAGTTATATTGAAATCAGACCAAAACTGTAGGAGGAGTAGCGTTTTGAAAGAATTTCACAGAAATTTCTATTTTTAGTAACCCAGCAACACCGTTCATCGAAATCAAAAACCGATAAACGGAATTATGCATCTAAGTGTAGTCTACTTGTGTGCCAAGTTATATTGAAATCAAAAACTCTGATTCTGGCCCGTCTTGACCCATTATATGAGGGGCCAGCCCTTTGCGAGCAACGAGTTGGTCTTCCGTCCCATTCTTGATGAGATGAGATGAGATTTTGATTGAGATTTCTTTTACAAAGATTGTAGTGTTCAGAAACAGCAATTATGCTTTAGTTATGTTTTTAAAAATATATTGAACGTTACATAATCAAAAACTCTGATTCTGGCCCGTCTTGACCCATTATATGAGGGGCCAGCCCTTTTTTCTTCAAATCATCTTAAAGTCCTCATGCTTTTAAACACTTTTTGTTCAACAAGTATTCAGAGAATGTTTTTCGTTTTCAAGTTATTAGCAAAAGAAATATTTAGGGACCAACCCTTCAACTCCTTAATGGGGACGTTTAGCCTAAAACGAAAGGTTGCATATTGTTCAGAACATTTTTTGAACATATTTTCTTCAACATTACTTATCAAAATATTTCTCACTTTCAAGATATACTGCGTCAAAGATTTAGCATTCTAGCCCCTTATGCCCCCTAATTATGTAACATACGACAAAAAAATCATTATATATACCGTAAATCTGGAAATTTTTACGTTGATTTTATTTTGCGAATCTTGGTCAAAATACTTACTTACTTAGTCCTCTTCGTGCTTGGAGCACATAAGGCCTGCACCGAGGACCTCCATCTCTGTCTGTCTGCTGCCATTGTCTGTACAGTGCCCCAAGTCCACCCTTGATCGTTCATTTCCTTTTCAACCGACCGTCGCCATGTCTCCTTTGGTCGCCCTCTGTTTCTCTTTCCTGGTGGAGTCCATCTTAGGGCTACCCTTGGTATCTCTGATGGTTTCATCCTCATCACATGGCCAATCCATTTCCAGCGTCTTTCTTTAATCTGGTCAGATATAGCAGCTGTGCATGTTCTTTCATACAGCTCCTCGTTGGTGATCTTGTTTGGCCAGAATATCTTCAGTATTCTACGGAGACATCTAGTTTGAAAGGTATCCAGTTTTTGCGAGATGTTCTTTGTCACCTTCCATGACTCAGATCCATAGAGAAGGACTCCGATGACATTTGTTTTAAATATCCTTAGTTTGGTTTTGGATCTGATAATTGAGGATTTCCAGATGTTCCGTAGGTTGGCAAAGATGGCACGGGCTTTTGAAATTCTATTATCTACGTTCATGGTTGAATCTCCATTGGCTGTGATCTTACTGCCAAGGTATGTAAAATTGTCTCCTTCTTCTATTCTGTCGTTGTTTGCTGTGACTTCTTTACCTATCTTTGTATTTATCCTCATTAACTTTGTTTTGTTTACATTTACTTGGTCATAATGCTGTGGATTAATTTTTATGTTTCAAAATTTTGTGAATGACAACTTCTTTGTTTATATTTCTTATTGTTGAATTATTTTTAAGAAAAATATTTTTGCGAATGCAATGATCTCGCAAATTTGCTACAAATTTATCTACAGCAAAAATTTCCAGATTTACTGTAGTTGTACATGGTTAAGATAAACATCTTTGCTTCAGTAATGTATTACAAAATATTAACTGAAAAAGAGTTATTGATTAAAGACTTTTGACCCTTCTCAGCCCCTAATTTGAGGGCCAAGCCCCTTTTTCTTGATTTTACTTAAAATCTTTTAGGATTTTGAACATTTTTTGTTCAACAACTATTCAGAGATTCATTTTCGTTTTCGAGTTATTAGCAAAAGATATCTAGGGGCAAACCCTTCAACTCCTTTATGGGGCCGTTTAGCGAAAAATGAAAGGTTGCGTATTGTTCAGAACATTATTTTGAACTTTTTTTGTTTAACATTATCTATTAAAATATTCTCACTTTCTAGATATAAAGCGTCAAAGATTTAGCATTCTAGCCCCTTATGGCCCCTAATTATGTAACATATGACATAAAATCATTATATATAGTTGTAGATGGTTGAGATAAACATCTTTGCTTCAGTAATGTATTACAAAATATTACCTGAAAAAGAGTTATAGATGGAAGACTTTCGACCCTTCTTAGCCCCTAATTTGAGGGCTCAGCCCCTTTTCTTGATTTTCCTTAAAAGCTTTTAGGATTTTGAGCATTTTTTGTTCAACAACTATTCAGAGATTGTTTTTCGTTTTCGAGTTATTAGCAAAAGAAATATTTAGGGGCCAACCCTTCAAATCCTTAATGGGGACGTTTAGCGAAAAATGAAAGGTTGCATATTGTTTATAACATTATTTTGAACATCTTTTGTTCAATATTACTTATCAAAATATTTCTCACTTTCAAGACATTAAGTGTCAAAGATTTAGCATTCTAGCCTCTGTGGCCCCTAATTATGTATCATACTACAAAAAAATCATAATATAAAGTTGTAAAATGTTGAGATAAACGTTTTTGCTTCAGTATTGTATAAAAAATATTGACTGATAAAGAGTTATCGAATTAAGACTTTTGGCCCTTTTCTGTCCCTAATGTGATGAGTCAGCGCTTTTTTCTTGGTATCATATGATAGATCTCATTGTTCTGCACAAATGATGTTCAATATATTTTTACAAAATAATTATACTTTAAAAGATATGATGCAAAAATGTCTCAAAAAATCATTTATGATTCGTGTCCTAATTTTTTACCCCTACCTAGCTTCCATACTAGGCACTTCCGGAAAATATCCTGACCCAGGTGCAACATGGCAACATGTCCTCTATCAACCCTTAAAATGTCAACTTTCTAGCTTCAACCATTTTTGAGTTCCTTCACAGACAAGGAGGTGCTCTAAATTTCTATCAAAGGGCGATAACTTCCGACCGGAAGTGAGTTTTTGAAAAATGACTTGCCGGAATTAACTTCATATAAAAATGCATCAACCGTGAAAACTTGAACAAAATCCGATGGGCTATCTCCGAGAAATCTTCTGCACAAATTTTGTAAGGAAAAAAATGAATAATAACTAGTGCTAATTGTAACGGGGACCGTTACAGATGTTCCCCAAACGCTCCCGAACTCCCTTTTGGTGCCATATTCCCTGTAAGCTTCATTTAATAAGACAAACACTATGCATTTGAGACTTTAACAATCTTTACCCAGAAGTGTACCAAGTTCATTCAAATTTTAGCATTGCATGCGTGCACATGTGAATGCATGTTTGTAATGACCATATCATCTTGTCTACACAATCTACACTAAATATCAGAGCATTTAATCCAAATGTTTCTTAATCCCACCACGTTTGGTTGAAAACCAAGGGAGTAATAGCTGTTTAATGTTTAAGCCAATCAGATTGTAGCACACGTACACGCACGTGTATGCAAGGGCATGGTGACCATACCTTCCTGTAGAAGTCCATTATATCTATCTATGTTCCAAACCCCATCCTGTTTGGTTGAAAACTGAGGGAGTTACAGCTATTTAAAGTTTAAGCCAATCAGATTGCAGCACACATACATGCACGTGTTTCCATGATAATTGCTATATATCATGTTGTACGATATCCTAATGCATGGCTATGTTTAAAATTTCAAAGGATTTCGTCAAAAAACAAGAAAGATATTGAGACTTTAGTTTCAGCCAATCAGAGCGCAGCGCACGTGCATGCGCGTTAGATCTTGCTTTTTTGACCATGTCATGTTGTCTATGCTTCTAATATATACTTCTGATATGAGTTTTAAAGCATATCATCAATAATTTAAATAGTTACGTCTGTATCAATTATATTGGACATTTCTCGTGTTGCACGCGCGAGCTCTTGCACGCACGTGTGCATGCACGTCCTTTCATGATATTTCTTTTATTACAGGCTGTAGATCTCCCTAATGTATGACTATGTTCAAAATTTCAAATGATTTTATCAAAAAACAAGAAAGATATTGAGACTTTAGTTTCAGCCAATTAGAGCGAAGCGCACGTGCTTGCACGTGCGATCTTGCTATTTTGACCATGTCATCTTGCGCATATTACTCATATATCCTTACATTATGAGTTTCAAAACATTTCGTCAAAAAATAGAAAAGTTACGGTTATATCCTTTATATATTGGTCATTTCAAGTTTTACACGTGCACGCTCTTGCAAGCACGTGCGCGCAAAATGACCTTGATTCCGCAAATCTACATAACATGCCTACTTACCCTAAAAAGGTTTCACCTAAGTCGAATGTGTAGTTTACAAGATCACTCGCGGACAAAATTTTCCCAGGAAGAAAAATTATAATAAGAATAACTAGTGCTAATTGTAACGGGAACCGTTACAGATGTTCCCCAAACGCTCCCCAACTCCCTTTTAGTGCCATATTCCCTGTAATATACTATATATGAAAGCATTCAGTCCAAAAATTTTAAAAATCACTCATACAAGTGTATTTCTAATTTCATTCGTTCCAAATGCATGCACGTGCGTGCACATGCATGATGACCATACTTTCTTGTAGGAGTCCCTTATATTTATCTATGTTCTGAATCCCATCCTGTTTGGTTGAAAAACAGGGGAGTTATAGCCATTTAAAGTTTCAGCCAATCAGATTGCAGCACACGTGCATGCGCGTGATTTCATGATTTTTTTTCTATATCGCATTGTAGGATATCCTAATGAATGACTATAATTTAAATTTCAAAGCATTTCGTCAAAAAACAAAGGAGATATAGTCATTTAAAGTTTCAGCCAATCAGATCGCAGCACACGTGCATGCGCGTAATTTCTTGAAATTTTTTGTATATCATATTGCAGGACATCCTAATGTATGATTATGTTTTAAATTTCAAAGCATTTCGTCAAAAAACAAAGGCGATATAGTCATTTAAAGTGTCAGCCAATCAGATTGCAGCACACGTGCATGCGCGTGATTTCATGAACTTTTTTCTATATCATATTGTAGGATATCCTAATTCATGACTATGTTTTAAATTTCAAAGCATTTCGTCAAAAAACAGAGATGATACTGAGGTTTTTGTTTTAGCCAATCAGAGCGCAGCGCACGTGCATGCGCGTGAGTTCGTGCTAATTTGACAGTGTCACATTATCTACACTAGTAATATATCTTTATATAATGAGTTTCAAATCATTTCATTAAAAAATGTAAAAATTATAGCTATATTAAGTATATAAGTCATTTCACGTGTTGCACGCGCACGCACGTGCAGGCGTATGCGCGCAAAATGACCTTCGTTCCGCACATCTACACTACACACCCATTAACCCTAAAAAGGTTTTAGGTCAGTTGGGTGAACAGTTTCTGAGAACACTTCCGGACAAAAAAGTACCGGAGAACAAATAAGAAAAAAAAAGAATAATAATAATAACTAGTGCTAATTGTAACGGGAACCGTTACAGATGTTCCCCAAACGCTCCCCAACTCCCTTTCGGTGTCATGTTCCCTGTAAGCTTCATTAAATAAGACAAACTCTGTGCATTTTTGACTTTTACAACGCTTTCCCAGAAGGATACCAATTATATTCAATTTTTAGAATTGCACCCAAGCGCATGTGAATGCATGTGCGTTATGACCATATCATCTTGTCTACACTATTTATATATTTTAATATACTATATATTAAAGCATTCAGTCCAAAAGTAATAAAAATCACTCATTCAAGAGTATTTTTAAATATATTCGTTTCAAATGCACGCACGTGCGTGCACGTGCATGATGATCATACCTTCTTGTGGGAGTCCCTTACATCTATCTATGTTCTAAATTTCATCCTTTTTGGTTGAAAAACAAGGGAGTTATAGCCATTTAAAGTTTCAGCTAATCAGATTGCAGCACACGTGCATGCACGTAATTTAATGATTTTTTATCTCATTTTGTAGGATATCCTAATGCATGACTATATTTTAAATTTCAAAAGATTTCGTCAAAAAACAAAGGAGAAAAAGCCATTTAAAGTTTCAGCCAATCAAATTGCAGCACACGTGCATGCGCGTGATTTCATGATTTTTTTTTCTATATCATTTCGTAGGATATCCTAATGCATGACTATATTTTAAATTTCAAAGAATTTCGTCAAAAAACAAAGGAGAAATAGCCATTTAAAGTTTCAGCCAATCAGATTGCAGCACACATGCATGCGCGTGATTTCATGATTTTTTTCTATATCATTTTGTAGGATATCCTAATGCATGACTATATTTTAAATTTCAAAGAATTTCGTCAAAAAACAAAGGAGATATTGCCATTTAAAGTTTCAGCCAATCAGCTTGCAGCACGCGCACATGCGCATGCTTTAATGAAAATTCTTATATATCAAGCGGTAGATCTTCATAATGTAGGACTATGTTCAAAATTTCAAAGGATTATGACAAGAAACAAGAA